TTGGTAATCTATTAGGAAGGAGGTCTTTTTGAGAACTTTTCAACACTCCCTTTTATATATCGATAATTATTTCTGTATGCATTTTGATATTTATATATATGTGTGTGTGAGAGAGAGAGCGAGCGTGTGTATGTGTGTGGGGGAATGAGTATGTGTGTGTGTGTTTGCAAAAATATATTACTTTGAACTTCTGTGTTTCTTCCGGTCGATGTATTTTCTCATTCAATGAAATTTGTTTAATTAACAAATGTGGGATTCTTAACAAAAATGTTTGAAACAAATGGATTGATATTCTAAATTATTCCTGTTGGCATATATTATGATATGATATGTAGCAGGTACTACAGGAAAGTCTGTGTAATTCGAACAATGTGCGTAGGAATCTGAAACTCTTTGTTAGCAGTAACGAAGCCCTTTCAAATTCGCTTTACTGATTCGATATTTCTGGTTTTCCACAATGACCCTTCATCTCTATTTGCCCTGAATATTCATAATTTCTATGGCCAAGTATCAATAACTTTTCAACAGCACCGTCTATTTAAATATGCATACCGTTTTATAGCATACACATATAAATGCTTGAATAATGTCACTATATGTATGTTTATAAATGAATTTATTACAAAAAGGTACCTGTAAAATATGTTATATTTATTTGCTCTGTTGTGCTAGTTTATCACTGTTTAAATTCACATAACATTTCATATCTATCTATTTATCTATCTATCTAGGCAGACAATACACACACACTCACACGCACATACACACACACATTCTCTCTCTCTCTCTCACACACACACGCACACACACATATATATTTGTACGGATGAATGCATCCACCCTTTCATTCATATATAAAGAGAGAAAATATACAACTAGTCATTTTGAATGAAGTAAATGATTAAGGAGTGCAATCAAGTAAATGATGGCGATCCCGAAATAGGCCCTTGCAGACTGCGTTGAAATTGAAAAGAATGCTGAGATAAGAAAGTGTGGAATCACTAGAATATTTTGAAGTGCAGTAAGGTGTCTGAGGTACGCTACTTTTTTTCGGTAATATTTAATGACTGAATGATTTTTGGAAAGGGCACCTATGTATATGCTTGGTTAACCTATGCATACAATTCATGTACGCTTATTTAGATCCAGTTACACTCACACACACATATACATACATGCATACACACACACATGCACACACACACGCACGCACACACACACACGCACACACACACACACACACACATATATATATATATATTTATGTGTGTATAACACTGATAACACCCAGTTCTTGATCATCACAGACATAGTCAAAAGTATTTGAAACAGAAAACAGATAAAAAAAATGAACTTTCTATATTTTATCCACACAGAGTGCGTGTATGTGTGTATCACTTTTCTCTTTTTTGTATATATGCACACACACGCCCTCACCATGTATTTCAGCACTCATAAAAATATGAAACCTTATCTGTTGCTGAATCGGTATTAATTCAAACGTGTGAGTAATACGAATATTTTCTGATAAAGTTTAAGTAATGAAAATTAAAATCAAACACTTGTTTTTTTTATATATTCTCATCATTCACTTATATTAATATCACCACGTCGTCAGAATAAATAAGGTCGTGAATATGGCATTGGAAGTGAACATGGCGAAGCAGACGCATCACAAAGACAGCAATAATTTGTTTCTTTTCTTTTTTAAACATTTCGATTTATCACAGATTGAAAACTAGTAACTTATAAACTTCCAATGTACAGATTTTAGTTTGAAACGTGCGAAGTCAATGAAATATTAAACAAATAAAAAAAAATCTTTCTTTTTGTCATGGTATAGATGAACTGTGTATTAACTGGACTGGCCAAATGAAAACGACATCGTCATTTTTACGAAAATTGATAATAATATTTATAAGTCTATCTCCGACAACTTCAAACACCAAAATGTCTGTGATAGTTTCTCTCGAGTTAACTGTTATGCTCGCTTACTCTCTCGCTTACTCTCTCGCTTACTCTCTCGCTTACTCTCTCTCGGTCTCAGTATATTTTGTATATTTGTAATTCAATAATTAATAGACTTGGATTTCTTTCAGCTGCTAAAATGAATGACATTATCTGTACATCATTTCGGATATTCTAGTTCATGATTAAGCAATCAAATTCAAAACCTCCATCTGTTTGTGTATTCGTAGTCATGCAGTCTTATATATGTTTGCCTCTATCTGCATACATACATATATAACACATTTAAATGCATGTTATTTATATATATATATATATATATATATATATATATATATATATATATATATATATATATGTATGTATGTGTGTGTGTGTAAATTTTACCTGGAATTTTGTTAGATTGTATGATACCAGATGACATTGTTTATATGTACAAACGTGTTTCTTTCTCAAACTCGATAATACATAAACTTTTTTATGTGCCATATGTGCCTGTTTCTTTACACACGTTTGAATAAAGCTTTTCTACCTCTGCCTTTGACGACGTCCTAATTAATAATGCTCTGTTTATGAGTAGCAATATATGGGTCGTTTCCTGTCACTATTTTTTTTATTTGCAGTTTTTTTTTCCATTGAACCATTTCCTTTCCTTCATTCCACAGTTTTTATATGGTATATCTAGAACTTTTATTCGTAACTATGATCTCAAATATTTTGCAGGGTCTTGTTTCTTATCTTTCTTCTCCTTCTCTCTTTCTCAGACATTTCTTTCGTTTTTTATTTGTCTCTTACCACCCAACCCCATTTATCACCCTCACCACTGCGAGCTTTTTTTATTTCCTTCGTCTTAAGCGTTCTTTACCATCTTCTCAGTATTTCACTTCCATTTTTTAAATAATCTTTCCCGTACCTTTCCATTATCTTTTTCTTTTTTTTCTCTTTTAGAACATTTGTCACAAAGCGATATTTAAAGAAAGGAGAATTCTAAGGACTTTGATCGATACTAGTACCTCAACTAATCTAGGATTATAACAAAGTTGGAACAGCCAACCAAATAACTCGAAAACTTGCCATAGTTCGAATTAGTTTAATCAGTCAATTGTATTCAGTTTAATGATCACCAGCCGTCTTAGACCACTGGCTTAATGCTTAATGTTTAATGTTTACCGAACAGCTTAGATCTAGGTTTTCGTGTTTAATGTTCACCGAAGGCCTTACACCTAGGCCCTTGAGTTTATTATCACTGAAAGCCTGACACCTACAATTTGGTGGTTAATGACCACAGAACGCCTTACACCTATTTTTTTTTGTGTGTTTAACGCTCACTGAACTATTTGTCTGTCTCCACATCTATCTATCTATCTATCTATCTATCTATCTATCTATCTATCTATCTATTACCATTACTTTATCCGTCACACTCGGCGTTCTTCCAAATGAATATCAAAACGTGTTATAGTCAGTTTTTCCTGATCATATTGATCATTCCTTCCACTGTATGAGCGATAATTCTGGCCCATCTTTGAACTTATTATTTCCGGGACAAGCGCTTTAATTCATTAAGTAGACAAAGAAACTGTTATATCTTATAGTATACAACTTCTTGGACAAAAATATTGGGATTCGGGATAACCAATGTAATTTAGAAACTAAAGTAATAAATGAAAATGTACTTCGTTTCGATGCATATGTCTCGTAAAATTTGTATGCGCAGAAACAAAATCTAATTTTAATCATATAAAACCATCACATCATACGTATAATTATTTTATAACTGATGATTAAAACGCACATATGTAAATATTGTCTTGTTTTTTCTTCAGCTTGGTCAATGCAAATCATAACTTAAAAGGTTTTTGATAAAATTAGTGTTATTCTAGATTAACTGACAAAAAATTGCTATATATTCATTAGATATAATAACTAGATAGAGGCATTTGGTTAGACACAATACCTAGATAGGCTGTGCCATTTAAATGATCTTTTACTGGTCCGAGGGTCCCAATATATACCTAGAAAATATTCCTCATACCTACCAGCAGCCGGAATCATTAATAGAAGTCAGCTTGGATCTATACTTTCAGGTTGTCTACGCTATATTCTAGTCCTATCCTCCAAATGCCGTAGCAGAAATCGAGACTCATCAGACCAGGCAATTTTTTTCCAATCTTCTATTGATCAATTCTTTATAAAGCTTGGTAACGTTTCACTTTGAAATTTCTTGTAGATCAACTGTTTGCGTAATTCACAGAAGCACTGCTATGGCACCATAAACTGTTCAAAGTCGCTTAAAATACATTCTTTTCTATACTAATACATGAAGTGACATACATCATGTTTAAATACTTATATCCTTAAAATTGCTCCCACATCATTTGCTGATTTCTTCTCAAAAAATATTAAAATGAGGATGTTTACTTTATACATTCTGTTTAAAAGAATTGTGATTTTTGTCTGATCTTGAAGTGTAAAAAATTTGTTATTGCGAATAGCCTCTTTACTGGTGTTTGGCGATATAAAATGCGTAAATAGCTTCAAGTTGAAAAGATCACTCTGTCGTGAAATCATATATAAATTACTTGAATCTTTTTATTAAATAGAAATAATATCTAACACAATATTTAATTGTTAAATTACAAAATAAAATCGGTTAACTCGTCAAAGTTTATAAAATACCAGCCTCTTTAAATGATAAACCAGATTTTAATATTCTCATACTTACATGTCCTTCCGTGTTCCTGTGTATTTAGCCTGAGTTCAGCCTGAAGTCGGGCGACCGTCTGATCGGCTGATCGGTTGAACTCTCTGCCATCGGGCGGGGAGGAGCCCGAACGAGGCTACGCCGAAGGGCGGAGTCTCTTTCGGGGAGGTAAACCGACTCTGAACCCGTTTATACGGGTTTAAAGGGCATATTTTTGGCCGAGTCCACAGGCTCGGAGATCCCACGTTAAACCGGCCTTGTGCCACATGATGCCATCGTGGTGGGGTGACTAAATACCGTTCCTGTGTATTTAGCCCTTTCTGCAATGGGAACAGTATGATTTATGAAAGAGCAGCAATTTGATTGAAAAATGACTTTAATTATAAATGTTTCGAATGTGTGTAGTAACGGCATAAGTGAGAGTTCAGCTCGGCGTATTTCTGTGTATTTGTAAATATCGATTGTTTTTTGAATGTTTTATTTTACAATAATTTCCACTCCTCAGTAGAGATATTCAATGTCTTTAGATATATCTTTTAGCTTTCGTCAGGCCAATTGGCTAATGAATCAAATTATTACTTTCCTTTTAATTATACCCTATTTAAACTTATCTAGTTATCGTTCTGGAGTGATCTATTTTTCTCGTAATCTGTCTAGCTAAAAACTTCGTTTCCAAAAATGTCTGGGCAGATGAAGAAATCGCTTACCGTCGATATTTTACTTCCGACTTCCAACAAGCCAGCATAAAGTGTAAAGTGGGGACAGTGTAACCTAAATGAAGAGACGAGTATCAAAGACTTCTTTTCTGACAATTCTTACTGTGTGTTTTTGGTTTATAATTTATTTACTTTTCTTTTGCTTCTTTGCAGTCGAACGGAGATTTACACGAGTCTGATGTTGACTCAGACGCAGCCAGTGACAACGGGGACGACAGCGAAATCTGCACGGACAAAATGGATCCAGCCGATCGAGAATTGTATGAGAAACTCAAACAGCAGGAACGAGAAGAGCGTGAGGAGATCGAACGCGAGCTGAAGGCTCACGAGGAGGCCATCGCTCGACAACACGAAGAGTTGCGTGCTAAGGATTTGAGACTGCACGAACGCATCCAACAACAACGCGAACAGGACCTGCGCAAACACCCGATTCCAACGGCAACCGGGACCACAGGGTCTGGAAACGGTGCATCGGGAAATGCGGGCAACGGAGGCAATAGCAGCACTGGATCCAGTACTGGGTCTGCAAGTACCGGATCCGGAAGTGGAAGTGGTGGCGGGGGAGGTGGAGGTGGCGGAGGTGGCGGCGGCGGCGGCGGCGGTGGAGCAAGTGGAGCGGGGAGTGTGGCCAGCGTTGGTAGTGTTGGCAGTGTCGGTCTCGGTACCGGCGGCGGTGCCAGCCCTGTAGACTATGTGACCACGCCACCAGGTGCCCATAGCCGACTCGGCTCAACCGGGGACTTGAAAGCGGACCACTCCAGGTTAGACATCATCAATCATGCCGCTTATTTAGAAAGATTTGCAGCGGCAGCTGCAGCAGCGGCCGGGGGTGCGGTCGGCGTGGTCAACCCAAATAGAGGACTTCCTGGGGCACCGACGTTAGCGACGTTGCCGCCAGCGTCGGCGCCCAGTCACACAGTACCAAACCCCAGCGTCGACACCACAGGACCATCTCATCATTGGACATTTCAGGAACAGTTCAAACAGGTAACACATTTATTACAAACGTAAGGATAAGCAAATCAAAGTAAAACAATGTTATTTTTCTATTCGTTGTTTTTTATAGTGTAAATATGCACACAGTATATGCACATATATAAGCTCCTGTACATCACAAAGAATTGAATATTCAGAAAATTATATATATATATATATATATATATATATATATGCGTATGTGTGTAATTAATAAATATACATATCCCTCACAAGACTTGGAGTTTCATGCAAAACGCAATTACATAGAGCACTATCTTATTAACACCACCACTTTATGTGCAATACATATATATATATATATATATATATATATATATATATATATATATATAGAGAGAGAGAGAGAGAGAGAGAGAGAGGGAGAGAGAGAGAGAGAGATTTGATTGAAGAGCATAGAATTTTCGTTTTTTATAATCCTGATATTGACCACTTGTCAGAAAGGAAGAAAATTAATTACAGATATTTCAACAAAGAAATTTCGTGCGTTTTCAGTCAAATCGGTATTAATAAAAATTCGTTGTTCAGATACATTTTGTATATATATATATATATATATATAGTTGTGTGTTTGGGCAGCAATCTCTCTCTTATATCTGTCCCATTAAATATTACTGACAAGTCACTTTTGTTAAGTTTTTTATTGTCTAAGCATCAATGACCAACATCATTTTCAGCAGTACACCCAAAATCCATGAAAATAGTTTATAGACTAGCCGAAAGCGCTCTGAACGAACAATCATTTGTGAGATGAGATCACTGTTAGATTGGCTGACCTTTTAGTTCTTGCTCTCGCTTCTCGAAGATGATTCAGACAAGTAGATTAAAAACTGCTGAGTCCGCTAAAACACGTTGATCTCCATTCTACTCACTCTAAGGCTAAGCGTTTAAGGGTGTTATGTGACTTATTAACAGCTGATTATATATATATTGATTACACTCAAACACTAAGATTATCTCTGAGTCATGCTATGTCCACGACTACTTCTGTAAATGGTTTCATAATTCAGTGATAAATCTATAATTGCCACATTTTTAATAAAAAATCTATCATACAAATTACAAATATTTGCAAGTAGTTTGTTTTGGGGATCGATCTATCTATCTATCAACTAAATATTTTTAACATTATTTACATTTATTAAAAATAAAGTAATAAATTATAAATACATTAATATAGAAATATTGAATAGAAATAATGTTTTAAAAGATCAAAATTATTATTATTTTTAATAGTAATAGTATTAATTTTGAGATAATTTTCTTAATCTATTTTTGTCGCTTTTTATTTCAATGCTTCGATCATTTTCACATTTTACAATGTTTATATAAGTAGCGTGAATCTGAAAGACAGAATTAGTTTCTGACGAGATTTGAACTAGACTTCTGTATTCTTAAAACATCCGTGTTGCATGTAAGAAAATCGTACAGTGTAAAAACAATTCGAGTACTCTGATGAAAATGATTTATATTAATTACACAGAAAAATAAAATGCCCCCAAATAAATAATGGCAATGGACATTTAGAAAACATAGGTCAAAAATATATCTCCTTCAAATTTTACAAAATTTAAAATAAATCGATAGAATTCCGCAAAAATCAAAAATAGTTCAATTCTCGCTGCACATAAAAGTCCTTGACGGTATTAGTAAATCAAAACATGTTTATCATTTATTATTTAAGAGGTGATTAGTAAAGTTAATTTAAAATAACCATAAAATTATAATGATTCAATTAGAACAGAATCAATAAAACCCGACATAGTTTTAACGTTTATATATATATATATATATATATATATATATATATATATATATATATATATGTGTGTGTGTGTGTGTGTGTGTGTGTGTGTGTGGAATACACAAATAATTGCATGAAAGAAACATTAAAAAACTTTTCATTGAATTAAAAATTTAGACAATCAGAGCTTCATAAGATTTGTATATATTGAAGAAGACACGAAATAAAAAGTATCTATCTTAGCTTATATGCATATATATGGGAGTGTACATGTGCGTGTGTTCTTCCAAATATATATAAATGATGATTAACAGTATTGTTACATTATGCAATTATATTCAGATATCAGATTGTTCAAAACCCTCCACTTACTTTGTCTGTACTTCAAGAGATTATATGTGTTGGTAAATGCATGCTTACTGATTTACACATTTATTTACGTATGCATATTTCCATTTGTAAGAAACAGCCCCAAATATCACTATCCGAAAACATTTACAATTTCATTTTATCCTTGTTAATTTTCTTATGATTCAATTATTTTGCCTTATTTTGTCGGCAGTACTCTTTCTTTCTCTTTTTGTGGTATATCATGACGATAATTCCTACCGTTCACCTCCCAGCTTATTTTCTTTCCATCTGTGTGACCGCCTATGCATTTAATGTCGAACTGGATCTAATCCCAAAACGAAGCAATTTTTTCCTGATTGAGAAAGACAAGAAATTGACGTTTGCAACATGTCTTAGATTACAAAACATTTTAAGCGTCGCGTATGCAATTACAAACACGTGCATACAAATGTATTAGTGTTCAATAGTTATGTATAAGAAACTGCTGAAAAGTTCTCGGTCCGAACCATTTTCCATAATCTGACCAAGTGACTAATCAGTAGCATTTTTAAATATTTTTGCTCGAATTTAGAATCTCTCATCATCCATTGGCATATATGTTTTTGTATCGACGAGATGATCTGAATTATTTTCTTTCTGAAATGCTAATATCATTAAATATGGTGCTAGATAAGATGGTAACTATAGTATGTAAGTTAGTTACAAAAAAAAAAAAATGAAAACAATGAAAATTCAAAGAAACAGTGGACAATTACAACTCTGGAACTAGCCCAGAATACTACGAAGAAAGGTACCGCAGTGCAAAACAATTTTCGTATCACATGGTGTTCGGCACAATCCGCTAGAGGATTCTCAAAGGAAGCAAAAATAACAGCAGCAGCAGCAACGAGAATGATGAAGATACATAACTTAAAGTGTGTGTGTGTGTGTGTGTGTGTGTTGTTCTCGCTGTTTAGTGAACAAAACTACCAGTTTTAAAAAGTATACTAAAGAATTGTACAACCTACGGATGTTTCACACACACACACACACACACACACACACACACACACACACACACACACATATATATATATATATATATATATATATATATATATATATATATGTGTATATATATATACCCAGGAGTGCAATTCTCATATTAGGATTTCGCTAGATACTTAATTTTTTTAAAGCATGCGTTTTCCTATCTAGCTGACGAAAAAACTGCGAAAACAAGAAACAACAATCAAGTTTCTCACTTGTAATGAACATTTGTTTTTAGGATCTATACTCTTCAAACTCACTACAAATAATTATATTGTAATTGTAAAATTGTTAATAAATGTATTAACATCCTCCCAGCGCTTGATATGTCGGATATTTTTTTATTTCTTTCAATTTTTATAGATTAGGATTCAACAACATAAATAATTTTCATGTATGAAATAAACCAATAGATTATCAAGTCAATCTTTAATTTTCTTTTGCAAGAAGCCCTTTGCCATTTGTATTTGAGCGCATTCATTTTTAAACAAAATTAGCTTCCTTCGTGAAAAAAATTCACGCAAACTTCATCGCTCACGTATGAAATAGTATATATATATATATATATATATATATATATATATGTATATATATATATATATATATGGAAACTTGCAGAAATTAAAAAACGTATCTATGAACATAAAATACTTTACACAACAAATATATATATATATATATATATATATATATATATATATATATATATATATAATAAAAAGGCTCAAACACTAATATTCCATGGTTATAATTTATTACATTGGAATCGTAAAAGTCTGATGAATAGGATCATGATCACGATTCCACTGTAATAAATTATAACCATGGAATATTAGTGTTTGAGCCTTTTATTATATTCTTAATCTGACCTAGACATTGAGTTCTACCTGGATTCCATCGTCTTGGAAATTTATATATATATATATATATATATATATATATAAATATTCATTTTTGAAAATTTTAATTTGAAAAATTCATTAAGTTTTAAATTAAGTTTAAGTTTTAACTTAAGTGTTTAGTTTTAATCAGAAAAATTCATTAAGTTTTATCTTTTAAAATTCTGTATTAATTTCAAAATTTTAGGTGATATTATTAAGTAAAAAGTATATGTATTAATCATAATTGTAAAATTATATATATATATGTGTGTGTGTATTAAGACCTTCAATAAATATTCAGTAAATGTTATTGATAAGCAATCTTTACGAAATAAGTATTCAATATTAATATGTTGATAGAGCAATAAATATCTGATAAATATCACAAAGAAATTCAAGTTGTTGTTTATTGTATTTGTCTATTTGGTTACATACATACATACATATATATATATATATATATATATATATATATATATATATATATAGAGAGAGAGAGAGAGAGAGAGAGAGAGAGGGAGAGAGAGCGAAAGAGAGAGATAGAGAGAGAGAAAGAAATGATAAATATATGTAGATATTATTTGTATATATTATTTACTAAGCATAGGTTAACTTTGGTACAAGGCCATAAGTATGGAGCATTCTGTGAGGATGGAAGTTAGTAACAATGATAGTCTTGTTGAACTTGCTACACAATATATAACAATGAGGTACCCATTTCTATACATTAGTTTCCTGCGAAGTTTCTACGGAAAGAAATTTACTTAATTTACTTAAATTGCGTATCATTTTTTAGTTTTCAGAAAACTGAGAATTTTGCTTACATGTATGGATGTCTGCAAATATATGTATGTGGCTTTTATATGCATGTATATATTATATATTTGTGTGTGTGCATGTGTACGTGAGTGCATATACGTGCGTGTGCATGTCTGTGTTTGCGCAGATGTAAACCATCAAACAAACTCTGTTTATTTTTTAACATTTGCCAACTCGTCAGTTTCCGCGTTCTTTGCGTAGCATTGCACGTCGCGATTCATAACATCTTTCGGATGTGGAGCGGCCATGTTTTAAGATGGCGTCTCTGTCGATTTGCACTCAACGCGTGGTTATTTTGACGAACACAGCGACGGCGTCAGCGTGCATTCGCACCGAGAGTGACAGACCCTCGGGAATTGTAACGAGATGTAGCGGGAATTGATCTCGGCCGACGAGATTCCACACATTTATTTCGTCTAGGTGAGTCGGTTTGTTTACCTTCACTTACTGTATGCTTGCCAACATAAGACACAGCTTACTTCGAGACCAATGTTTGAAATATAGAAGCGTTTATTATAATAATTATTATTTAATAATAATATTTGAAGCGAGCTGGGATTTGTTTCAGGTTTAAAAAGTTACCAAGAAATTAGATTTTTTTCTGTTTCTTAGTATTTTTCTTTTGAAATACGTATTTTGACAATCCAATGCGTCTACAGATATCGGAGTCACAGCTAGGTTAAAAAAAAAAAATCTTTTCAGATATTTAAACTTCTGTAATTATTTGATTTTAAGATCTCCAAAGTTCGCATCTTAAGCTTTTCCTCTTGATGACAATCATTTATTGTCTTCTCACAATGGATAGTCCTTTCTTCTCCCTTTTCTTTTTACCTTGTTTAGGACATCCCGTGGTTTTCCTTCTGCCAACAATACAGTTTCATCTGTGTAACTTACATTACATTGTTTTGATTGCACTCGCCGATATTAAATTCTTATGTGGTCTTTAGCACCACTAGGAGAGCCTCACTGTAGAGGGTTAATAAATCCTTGTTTTACGACCATTTCTATTTTGTGTAGCCACCATTCATTTTCTATCAGTATGCAGGTTGTTTGCGCCTAGTATAAGTTCTATGCATTTGGTTTACGTACACTTGTTTCCTTACATACTCCCATATATAATCCAAGTGAATCCTAGTAATATAAAATAATAAAACAGATCCACACAAAGAACTCAATGTATTTATTATTACAGAGCAAATGATTAATACACAATAATAAACGATAAAATCCAAAATCACTTCATATGTGAAATAAGCTTATTTCAACTGACAAAATTCGTCAGTCTTATTCAA